ATGTTCATTAAAACTAATAAAATTTAATTTAAAAAAAAAAAGAGAAATATTTTAACATGGCTCCAAATGGGAATATATATATCCAAGTAACCGTTATTTCTTAAAACTGTAGCCCAAAATACTGTTTCCTATGACAACATTTTATAATGTAGATAAGAGCACATTGTGGAGACCAGGTAGGCCAACAAAGTTAGGAAGCTGGGATCTCATTCCCAGAGTCAAGTTTATTTGCATTTCCATCAGTTCTGTATCTTCCAAGCTTGAGCTCAACTCTTCTGCCTCAGTCTCTAAAACAACAGTTTGCTTTCACATTAAGTACAATAAACTGAACTTGATATCAAGGGGGAATGTGAGAGAAGTCTCGGAAAAAATAAAGGAAGTAGTAGAAACAATTCAGCAGATGGCACTGTAAACTCAAAATGTGTCTCAGGAAAATTCTGTTTGTAATTAAAAGGGCCGAACTCACTCAGCGTTTCTTAAGCTGAAGGAGTGGAAAAACAAATTCAAGCCACAAGTGACAATACTTAAGGAGGCTTTGGATAGAATGCTAAATGATCCAAGAAGCATTAAAAGAAGATGGAAGGAGTACAGAGTCACTATCAGAAGGAATCGGCCGACACAGAAGAATTTCATGAAATAACGTATATGCAAGAGCCTGTGGTGATGAAGGAGGAAGTTCAAGTTGCTCTGAAAGAACTGGCAAAAAAACAAGGCTCCAGGAGTTGATGGCATACCAACTGACATATTTCAACAAACAAAAGCTGCCCTGGATGTGGTCATTTAACTGTGCTAAGAAATCTGGAGGATAGCCAGCTGGACAACTGACTGGAAGAGATCAATACTTGTTCCCATTCCAAAGAAAGGTGACCTGACAGAGTGTGGAAATTATTAACCGATATCATTTATATGACATGCAAGTAAGATCCTGCTGAAAATTATCCAAAAACTACTGGAGCAACACGTCAACAGAGAACTGCCAGATGTGCAGGCTGTGTTTAGAAGAGTCATGGTATTATGGATATTATAGTTAATATTAGATGGATCTTGGCAGAAAGGAGAGTACCAGAGGAATGTCTATCTGTGCTTCATTTGACTATGAAAAGGCTTTTGACTGCGTGGATCACAACAAGGTGTGGCTGACTCTGAGAAGAATAAAAATCCCAGAATACTTGATTGTACCTATTTGAAACCTATACTTGGACCAAGAGGCAGTCGTCAGAACAGAGCAAGGAGACACTACATGGTTCAAAATCAAGATGGGGGTCCACCAGGATGCAATCTGTCTCCATACCTTTTCAATCTGTATGCAGAACAGATAATCCAGATGCTGGGCTGTACGAGGAGGAATGTGGCATCAGGAGTGGTGGACGATTCATCAATAACCTGCATTATGCAGATGACACAACCCTCTTGGCTCATACTGAGGAGGACCTGAAGCACTTGCTGCAGAGAGTCAAGGACTGCAGCCTTCAATACAGATTGAAGCTCAACATCAAGAAAACAAAGATTCTCACCACTGGGCCAATTGGAAGCATCAGGATGGATGGTGAAGACACTGAGATAGTTAACAGTTTTAGTTTGCTTGGCTCCACAGTCAACACTCTTGGTACCAGCAGCCAGGAAACCAAGAGATGAATTGCACTGGGAAAGTCAGCTGTCAGGGACCTCTCCAGAGTACTGAGGAGCAACGAAGTCAGGCTGGAGACTAAGGTGCACCTGATCCGGGCTACAGTCTTCGCAATTGTGTGCTATGCATCAGAGAGCTGGACAGTGACTAGGGATGACAGAAACAGAACTGATGCCTTTGAGCTGTGGTGCTGGAGAAGAGTGTTGATACCAAGGACTGCTAGGAGAACAAACATGTTTGTCCTCTTGTTGTTATGTGCCGTCGAGTCGCCTGCGACTCATAGCAACCCTATGTACAATAGCCCTAAACTCCGCTCTGTCCTGTGCCAATCGCACTGTCTCCGACACTCCCATCCCAATTATCCCAGTCACTGAATCAATCCACCTCATAGAGGGCCTTCCTCTCCTGCGCCGTCCCTCCACCCTCCCAAGCATGATGTCCCTCTACAAGGACCGGTCTCTCCTCACTACATGTCCAAAGTAAGTTAGACGGAGCCTCAGAATCCTTGCCTCCAAGGAGCCACCCGGTTTAACCCTCTCCAGGACAAATCTATTTGTTTTCCTAGCAGTCCATGGTATTCTCAATACGCTTCTCCAGCACCACAGCTCAAAGGCATCAATTCTCCTTCTATCCTCCTTGGTCATTGTCCAACTCTCTGATGCATAACAGGTGAATGCGAAGACCATGGCCTGTATCAGACGCACCTTAGTCTCCAGAGAGACACCACCGCTCTTCAGCACCTAGGAGAGGTCCCTAACAGCAGACTTTCCCATGGCAATGCACCTTTTAATTTCCTGGCTGCTGGTGCCAAGACTGTTGACTATGGAGTCAAGCAAACTAAAGCTGTATACAATCTCAATCTCTTCACCATCCATCCTGATGCTGCCAATTGGTCCAGTGGTGAGAATCTTTGTCTTCTTGACATTGAGCCTAAATCCATATTGTAGGCTGCAGTCCTTGACACTCTGCAGCAGGCACTTCAGGTCCTCCTCAGTTTCAGCAAGCAGGGTTGTGTCATCTGCATAACGCAGATTGTTGATAAATCATCCACCAATCCTGACCCCACATTTCTCCTCATAGAGCCCAGCCTCCCGGATAATCTGTTCTGCATATAGGTTGAAAAGGTATGGAGATAGGATGCATCCCTGGCGTACGCCCCTCCCAATTTTGAACCATGCAGTGTTCCCTTGCTCTGTTCTGACGACTGCCTCCTGGTCCAAATATAGGTTTCGCATTAGAACGATCAAGTGTTCTGTTTGTCCTAGAGAGTGTAAAACTGGGCTGCTCCTTGGAGGCAAGGATTCTGAAGCTTCATCTGACATATTTTGGGCATGTTGCAAGGAGAGACCAATCCTTGGAGAGGGACATCATGTTTGAGAGAGTGGAGGGATAGCACATAACAACAACAACCACAACAATGTAATTATCAGATGACTTAAAATTCTAGTGCTGGCATGCTAAATGTTGAGATAAATTGACCACTATAACCAACAAGTCCACTTCCCCAAACAAACAAAGGCCTCACGGCGCTCTTTTGTTCCTAGTTATCTATCCCCTTTCTTTAATTACTTTTCTTGATCACATAAATAGTCTATACCATTTCATACATGACATGCACCCCCTCAAAAAAAGCTGATACCTACTGCATGGAACACCAAGGAGAGTGACTTGGTGAATGGAAGGGCCGCCATCAGCCAGTGAATTTTAAATACATCGTTCCTGTAAGAAGAGAGCAAAGAATTAAAGGAATGCTCAAATGGCAACAGAAATTCCAGTTTTACAAGGAAGCAGTAACCAAAGTGATGTAAACTATATATAAGAAGGCTTTTGTGAAAAGTAGTTTCTATAGATACAATTAGAGTCCCAAAATTATCACTAATACATCATTTACTGCTGTGAATAGAACCAAGAGTTATGTGTATGATGGATTCTGAGTCCTTACAAAGTGAAAATCAAACATAGGCTGCTAGCTTCTTCTCCACAGATCAGTCTGGACAAGACACAGATACAAAACCAAGGTGACAGAGCTAAGAAAAGGCATTAAGTCTCCAGAAAACAGAGGCAATACAGCTGCAGAGGAAATCTATAGCCCAGAGTGGAAGGCTGCAAGCCTGGCATCACAGATGCACTATAAGATCAGGAGGTGGACCATCCTTCTCTCCACATCTCGAAAGGGTCAAATCACCAGACCAGTGCTGTGAAACACCCACTCCCATTTCTATCTCTTTAAAAACAGAGTGACAAGGAGCTGTACTACCAACCTCACAGTTATAATCCACCAGCTGCTCCAAGAAAAATGAGCAATCTCCTCCCGTATGATTTACTGCCTCTGAAAACCCTCTGTAGGATCAGCTATGAGTCAGTTCCAACTCGATAGCACACAACAACAACAGTCTATTTTTTTGGTTTTGAGGGATTAAATTCCTTTGTCCCTTTATTTCCCTTTAAAAGTTACCAAAGAAGACATGCAAGATCATTTTGGAGAAAATTTTTACATTTTTTTAAATTTTAATTTTATGAAGGTTCACAAAGAGATTGATTTTCATTTGTTCATGCACCCCCCTCCCTCTTTCACCATCCCTTCAATTCCCCTTGTAATGATTGTCTGGTTCTTGGCTATTAATTTTCACATACATAATTACTAATCATCCACTCCCACCCATTCCAGTACAGTGTTTATTATCCAGTCATTCTTTTAAATGCCATTCAGGTACATAAATGAACATGTAAAACTACACGCTCACATCCTAAGACATTCTCACAAGGAGGAGAGGAAACGGGGAACAGCAGCAACATTGGCCAAGAGGACCAACAGAAAATATTAGGAGAACAGATCCATGTTATCTAGAAGCTTTGGTAAATGTGGCATCACAAATGAATCAACTGTCCAACAGTCAGCACTGGAAACTGGTTCAAAGCTACATGCCTACACCTCACTTACCATTTCTATCTAACACTGAATTTATAACAAAAGTAGACAGCTACTATCTGCTCATATTGGCATGGTGGCAAAATCTGCAACTGTGGAGCATTTATCCCTTGAAAAGGGTCTCCAGGAGGCTTCCAGGATGCTGGTCTTTACTGCCCTACACACAGCCTTCCTCCCTGCCAGATGGTACTGAGTCCAGCTGGTGAGTGTGAGTGACCACCTCTGTGGCCATGGCCTTCTGTTGGCTATCAGTCAGCACTGAGCCAGTAGCACCTTTTCTGAGCCCCCAACCCTTATTCGATCTCAAGGCCCTGCAGCTTAAAACTGCTATGGAGTGGGAAGGGAGGGAGGAAAACGGCCTCAGAGGGGCTATATGAAAGATGCTTGTGAGTTTTCTTTGTTTTTTTTTTAATTTTTGTGTGAGTGTACCGTCAAATCAGATCTGACTGGTACAGGAGGAGAATGCTCCTCCTTTTCCCGGCAGAGCATCTGGTGGATTCGAACCGTGTGCCTCTGGGATTGTAGTTGCAGCTCCTTGCCACTAGGCCACCAGAGCTCCCCAGATGCTTGTGAGTTTAACAATGATGTCCTAGCACGAAGCCCCGGCCTTGGTCCAGTGCCCTATCAGGAAGCCCTCCCCTTGGTGGCTCACCAGAGACGGAGGGCAGAGCAAGTTCTGGGGTCAGGAACACAGGGGTAGGAGTCGAGTGCAGGATGCAGGTCCTTGATGCAGCGCTGCCCCCACACAGAAGGCCAGTGACATGGTTAAGCTGTGGACTCAGCAGTCACACAGGCCAGCTTTACAGTCTCCCAAGTGGGATAATCTGTAACTGGCCTTATCACAGTGATAAGCACATCACAGCTGTTATTATTTCTACAGTCTTTTTTTTTTTTTTGCTAATCAGACAAATGTCTCCTGAAAATAGGAAAAGAAAGAAATTCATCTATTTCTGCCTATCATAGATTTTTGCATAATGAACCTAACCAAAGTGAGGAGGTGATGTATATTATAAATAAATAATATGGTGGATCTCTATCTGCACTTCCACAAAGGAGAACACCAGGTGAATCCAAACTTTAAACATAAAATATGCATCTGTGGTCTTGGAGTGGGAAAGGGCTTAAGAGAAAAGACTAAAATTATAGTTATGATGCTATTAAAATTATAGACAACCATTCAATAATAAGCAGCACAGACCAATTTAACAGACTGTGATAATAAATTTGCAATATCTATAAAAGGTTAATATCCAGCACATACAAGCTCATGCAAAGGGAGGTCTGGTGGCCTAGTGGCAAGAAGCTGCACTGCAATCCCAGAGGGGTATGCTTCGAATCCACCAGGTCCTCTGCTGGAGAAGGAAGGACAATTTCCTCCTTTATCAGTCAGATCTGAGTTGGCGGTACACACACAAAAAAATAATAAAATAAAATTAAAAAAAAAAAGAAGGTAGTCATGCAAAGCAACAAGTCAGGAAATCCAACAGAAAGATATGCAAAGAATATGAACAGGCAGTCACAGAGGGGGAACCCACCGAATTATAATAACAGATGCAGCAAGCATATTTGACAAAATTCAACACACTGTCATTAACAAAACCTCAGCAAAACAGAAACAGAAGGAAACTTTCTCAATTTCATTTATTAAAAAAGAAAGAAAAACCTTCCAGTCAATAGCATAGTTAAATGGTGATAAACTAGATGCTTTCTCTCAAAAATAAAAAAACAAGGCAATTACAGTCCCTCTTACAACTTCTATTCAATATTGTACTGAAGTACGAGCTAATGCAGTTAAGAAAGCAAAAGGAATTAAGATTGTGTAGAAAATCCCAAAGAATTTACAAAATAATTCCTAGAAAAACAAGGCTGCAAGAAATAAGGTTATTGCTTCCTGAACCTGAGATGGACCTGAAGTGTTTGCTGCAGAGAGTCAAGGACTGCAGCCTTCAATACAGATTGAAGCTCAACATCAAGAAAACAAAGATTCTCACCACTGGGCCAATTGGAAGCATCAGGATGGATGGTGAAGACACTGAGATAGTTAACAGTTTTAGTTTGCTTGGCTCCACAGTCAACACTCTTGGTACCAGCAGCCAGGAAATCAAGAGATGAATTGCACTGGGAAAGTCAGCTGTCAGGGACCTCTCCAGAGTACTGAGGAGCAACGAAGTCAGGCTGGAGACTAAGGTGCACCTGATCCGGGCTACAGTCTTCGCAATTGTGTGCTATGCATCAGAGAGCTGGACAGTGACTAGGGATGACAGAAACAGAACTGATGCCTTTGAGCTGTGGCGCTGGAGAAGAGTGTTGATACCAAGGACTGCTAGGAGAACAAACATGTTTGTCCTAGAGAGGGTAAAACTGGGCTGCTCCTTGGAGGCAAGGATTCTGAAGCTTCATCTGACATACTTTGAGCAAGAGAGGAAGACCCTCGATGAGACAGATCAATTCAGTGATTGGGGTAATGGGAGTAGGTGTGTCAGAGACAGTGAGGTTGGCACAGGATAGAACAGGGTTTAGGGCTCTTATATATAGGGTCGCTATGAGTCACAAGCGATTCAATGGCACATAACAACAACAACATACAAATGACAATGCCTTTCCCTTGTTTCCTGTTAGGTGCTGTCAGTCCTAGATGACTCATAGTGACCCTATGAAGGACAGATTGGAACTCCATCCTATCCTGCACCTAGCTCATAAGGGGCCACCATTGTTACTTTCCCCATACATCAAAACTGAACAGGTGGAATTAGAAATTTAAAAACCCACAACCTCATTTACATTATCACCAGAAAACAAACTTAGGTCTAAATTTAACACTATTATGGGGAAAACTACAAAACTCTGAAGAAAGAACTCAAAGATCTAAATAAATGGAGACACATTCATAAACAGAAACACATGCATTTTTTTAAAAATATGTTTCTCTCAACTTGATCTATAGATTCAATTCCAATAAAAATCCCAAAAAAAAAAATTTTAAAAAATCCCATGTCACTTTTTAGAGACTGACAAACTGTTTCTAACATGTAAAAGGTAATTTAAAAACCCAGAATACCCAATGGGATACTGAAGAACAAAGCTGGAGGCCTGGCATTGTTATTGTTAGATTCTGTCAAACCAGCTCCAACTTAAGATTAACCCTACACACAAGGGAACAAGATCCTACACCATCTTCGCACAATCTTGTGGCCACTGCTGCAGTTACTGGTGTCACCCAGAAACAAGCAGAGAATTCTAAAACTCTGAATACTCTGCCTGATTTTCTCTAAACCTACAATTGCTTTAAAAAAATAAAGTGTGTTAATATGTTTTAAAAAGGAGCTAGGCCTTGCACAGAATAGTAAAAGTGTAAATGACCTGACAAATTTGAGGTCCAAACACAAGTCAACTGGGCTCATTTCTTTCCCATCTCAGGACACATCTCCTTCCTTCAAGATCAAAAAGAAAGTCAAAGCCAGAGTAGTCTGCCATTTATGAATGACAATGAGATTTACCCAGTGTATAAAACTGGCCAATACCAAGAGCTGTGTTTACTCATCACTGGCAGTTACCCTTTGCAGTTCCAAGTTAGAACAAGGTGCTAATGTGCTAGAAAAATCCAAGGTCTACAGCCAGACCTATCTAGGCACCCTGTTCTACTCTCAGAAACTTAAATTTCTTTAAAATAAAAGGAAATAAAACCATCCTCAGGGAGCTCTGGTGGCCTATTGGCAAGAAACTGCACTGCAATCCCAGAGGTGCATGGTTCGAATCCACCAGATGCTCTGCCGGGGAAGGAGGGACAATT